ATGTAAAACCAATTAGGGTAGGATGCACTAAGCAAATCACTTTTGAAGGCCTCTCCTGTAACAAGTTATAAAGATGAATTGGCTTTACAGATTTGTTACTTAATAAAAGGAAAGGGAAAGTTTGAAAAATATGTAAAAACCACGAATTATCTTTTTCCAATTAAAGTGTGACTTCAAATTTTAGTTGTATCATACTATTGTACTATGTATATTCTTATTTTTAGGTGGCAGTCTCACCACACAGCCTGTCACATGTGCATTATTAAAACTCCACTGACAGACTAGGTGCAAATTTAACTGCTTTACTATCTGATCTTCCTCAAAGAAAACACATCAATATTAAACATCAACATTATACATCAACATCAGGACTATAATAAATGGAATTGTAATACAACAATGGATTCATGGGAAGCTGTCAAGAAAAAGGTGATCAAGTCCCTTGTATTAAATTTGGTGTATTTTATTTGAGAAAAATCTGTGACTTTGTTGAATTTACCACCATCACATACACAATCCCTGCTGCCCTTTAAATTAATCCTGTGGGATGAATTTAATTTTTACTGTAAAAGCTATTAAATTAAGTGTGCATAATGATTTTCTTACATTCTAAATTTCTCTTTTAGTTAATTTAATTAATAATTTCCTCAGCATACTTTACTGTCTACTGAAGTGACACTATTGAGTACCTCAAATGTTTTTCACAGTACAGGGAAAAAAATGGGAAAAAGAAAAATGATACAAGAAATAACACCCCTCTGAGGAAAGTAGAGGGAAAAAAGAGTCACTGGATGTAGCAGGACTGGGGAGAGATTAAGAGTTTTCAATACTTCAAAAATACATTTTAAAATAAAGGAACTGACATGTGGCAATACAGGTTCTATAATGTAACATCATGACTTGGTCTCTCTTGACTTGCAGAGTTCCTGGAGAAGCATGTTACAGGGATTAAATCCCTTTGAATGTTAATGTGTTCCTCTTTTGAACCACAAAGAACATTATCCTACTTCCCTCATCTACCAACAGCTGCACTGTTTTCTCTTACTTGACAGAGTGGAACCAGATAGCATGGCATGACTGACCTGAATGTAAATATTGCTGCTTGCAAAAACTGATGGCCTTTTGCTGAAATCTAGCAAACCAAATCATCAGCTCACCTGCAGCACAAATAAGTGTTCAGGCATCTGTTTCTAAACAATGACATCAGAAAAACTGTAAATCTGATTTATTACCTTATTAAAAAAATTAACACGCTTTACATTGAGAGTGCCCAGTAGAGGAAATCGAAGTGAAATGTTTCCAGTGAAAGGGCATGTGTGTGTACACAAGCACACATGCACATGTAACTTTACAATTACAGAAAAGCGAGTCAAAGCCAATAGCTCAGTTCAGCCATGACTCCACAACAGATATCTGGAGTCATACCTAAGAACTTCAAAAATTCATCTCAACCCTACACATAACTCTCATTCAGCTACTTCCTATAGTTTGTGAAAGGACTCTGATTCCAACAAAAGCTAGACAACATAAGACATGAATACGCAGAATGACCCTAAAAAAATCCACTAAATTTCCATTATCAAAATAAGTACTTTCACATATTTGAAGAGTCTTCAGTCAGATGAACTCCAGAGTGTTTTTCATTTAGATTTAAACGTACAACTGAAAGATAATATGGAACCTGGTCTCTATATAATGCTTAGAGAGTCACAAATTTCAAAGCTAGGACATGAATACTGTACTTAGTACTGTGAATTTTCACAACCATTTTGGATACCTCTGTTCTTGGAATTGTTTAGTAATATCAACACTTCAGTGGGAGGCTATATATAAACTACTATAAACTACTGAAGTATATAAACTAGTTCAGAAAATAGATTATAGTGATTAATGGAAGTTCCCAATCGATGAAAAAATTATTAAAATACCATCTTTCTGACACTATACTGCAATTTTGAAGCCTTTGGCATAGATTATTATTTACACTTAATGCACATTGTGCTGATGCACTTTTCAAAAATCACAGTACTTTCAAAAACATCTAACAATGTTATGCTTCATTTATTTACATAGTTCAAAAGTAGTTCAATCTGTTAGACGGTGTACATATTGAAAAGGGCAAGAATTTCCATATACACTACATACAGTGTATACTAGCCAAGGAACTTAAAATTACACTTGTAGTACATTTTCAGAATAAAGATGCTTAACAAGAATCTACTATTCCCATATTTATTATATGAACTATAAGAACAAAGAGTTACCAATATTAATGTGTTTTAATAAGAAAGCTATTTCAAGAAGGAATATGACTGAATTTAGGATTCTATCTATTTTAAAATGTATTTATGTGTATGTATTTCTTTCAATGCATGTCGCATATTTCAGTAGAGCTAAAACTCTTGAATATCTTAGTTGTTCCAATGAGGTGCCATTAACTCCCAGGAAAACAAAAGTAGCAGTCTGCTACATGCACAGAGACTCTTACCCCAGGGTTAAAACAAGGCAATTCAAAGTTGCTTCAGAGTGTGCAGTGGATTTATAATCTCTGCTAGAAATCTGCATGAAGACAGCTGTGGAGCATTTGCAAAGTAGTAACTTGCTACCTGGACATCCAAGTACCCACCCCACAAACCAGATAATCATAGAAATAGAGATGTGGTAAGAAAAATGTAATTTGGGGAAAGAAAAGAATGTCAGATGTGAAGGGTGGTTTCTGTAAGAATTCAAATGTTTAAATATTCCTGGCTGGGGAGAAGAGATTTTTCAGATTATATGAAAAAGTTTGAATCCAAAAAATTTAGCCTCTAGTTCTACTACAATAAACTGCTTCAGTTTAGACAACTTATTTAGCTCTTTATGGCTGACAAAGGTGAATTACATCCTAAGACCTTGCTTTCTAGCAATTATAATACATCAAATAGAGAAGAATACTGAACTTGGGAAACTGGGTTTGTAAGATCAGATGGAAGGGCTTTGTCCAAAGAATGGAGTAAGGAAAAAAACAGAGTAGACTTCATTCCAGTCCCGTGTGTCTGAAAATACTGAATCTAATCTCTATTAACACTAATTATACATTCCCCAGTCTGGTAAACTGGACTTAAAAGGGAACACAGATGAAATAAGTACTAGCCTTACTGCATTTCACACAAGTCTGGCAATTCTGAAACTATGTTAAGACAAAGAATTGTGTAAAGCACTGTGTAAAAGTTATAAAATCATGTTGTTTATTCAGCTATCTTTCATGTAAAAGCACAGATCAATTTCCAAGTACTTTCAATTCAAGGAAAGAAGGGGTGGAAAGGTGAGAAGAGAAAGAAAACTTCTATACATAGATTAACACTAACCTATCCAATCAGTTAAGGAGCAGCTTGGAACAGCTCCCAAGGTTAAAGCAGCTCCCTTCCCAGTTTTGCTTGTCCAGATGGAAGATGAACACATTTCAGGATTTCAAGCAGTGCTTTGGCTTGTAATCTGATGTGTTACTCCACTTTTGGGTTTAAAAACCCGTCAAAATTTGCTTATTTCAGATAGTAGTTGATTAACATGTTTTGAGGACAACAAGATGCACCGTACCAGGAAGGCTGTGGGGGGCAGTCAGGTAAGGGAGGGAAGGAGGGAGGGAGGAAGAGTGTCCTAAACAAAAACGGGAAACAATAAAATGAAAAAAACTTCAGAATCTCTTGAATCTGAGTCTCCATGGGAGCCCTTCCCCTTCACCCCTTAATGTCCAATGTAGCTTTTAGACAGCTGAATTATTTCATCACCTTATAAATGTTCAATCAAAATATGGAAATATGTTGTTTTTATTAAGATGAAATTCTAGCTGTTTGTTTGCTTGTACCCACGGGTTTTTTACCATCTCAATCTAATGAAATTTTCTCTATTTTATCTTATACTCATTTATCTGTCAGCCTTTAAATTTCAGTGCTACTCAATCACCCTAAAAAGCTAAGGATATTACAAAGTCTTCCAATGGACACCATCAGAAATTCTGTATGTGATCCAGGTACGTCTTATTATTAAAAATATGCGACTTGCTTTCCAGCCTTCGAGGCTAATGCCATCATACGAATTAATACAACAGAAATGCAACAGACGCTTCCAATAAACTTAAATTAAGGAGCAGTTGTGACAATCCTATGCTCTCTTTGTTGAAGGTCTCTGGTTCAGTCACCCTTTGTAGTCTTTTCTGCCACAGATCTGCATCAGGTGTTTATTAAAATAAATACTAATAGTTTTAAATTAGTATGCATTGCAAGAAGTATTCTTTGAAAACCTGAAGAACTGCAGAATAATACAGGGGCACTGGAGGACTAAAATCACATGGGTAAACTACTAAAGAAATTAATCTGCTTTGTTCTTGAACGTATCAGGGTCACTAAGAGAGCCTGTAATATAATAAAATAGCATTCAGCGATGATAGGAGACACTGCTTTATCCTCAAGGGAATTTCTTTTGCAGTTGTCCTCTGAGTTTAATCTTACTTCTGTGGCATCTCTTACTCTTCTTACTAGCCCAGAACAAGGGAAAAGCTGAATAAGCTATCAATGGGAAGAATTAAAAAGTAGACCATAAACTGAATTTGTGCACTAATAGAAAGACTGCTATAGTGCATAAGCTGGGGTTTTTTTCCACATTTCACAACATTGTTAGATTTTTAAGTTACACCACCTATTTAGTGAAATAATGCTCAGTGAAATACCAGTTGCAAGCCGGATGTCAGAGGCAATTTACAACTCATATAAAATTTCCTCCCAAGCAAAGAAGAAAGCAATAGCCGAAGAGCTTAGGTTTGTATTGAGAAAACTAAGATTTTCAAGCTTTTCTAGTTCTGTAAGGGCTATAGAAGCTAAAAATATAATTTCTTTCCCCATCTGTCCTGGATTTCTTTTGTGCTACCAACTTATAGGCTTAGTTTTGATTCAGAGATTCAGACCATGTTTTTTCTCAAGTGTAAAATCGGAAAATATTTACTCAAGGAGAAGATTTTAACTTACCTGATGAAGATCACTGCCCAAAACATATTCCTGGAAGTAACCTGGTGCAGCAGACGATGCTCTAATTGCTTGCCACAGCTTATACTGACAGCCTCCAATATAATGGGACTTAATGCCAGGAAAGTGGTTGTAGTTTCTAAACACAAATGCTTTCAGTGGTGTTCCTCTGTTTACAATGGTGCTTACTGCAGCTACCTAGTAAATGAGGAGAAAAAAAATTAGTTATATATGATGATAATAACTATAATATGAGAATGAAAGCTTCCCACCATACGAAATTCAAATTATACATTAATGCACCTCTGGAATCTTACTAGGTTCATTATTTATTTATATTTGTATAATGTCTAGCTAAATTTTAAAAAGTGAAAGTAAAACACAAATAAGAGACCCAAATCCCTAAAGAAAATGCTATTTTTAACCTGCAATTAATTGTTTTCACTGGCTATTCTGTTTGTACAAATATTTAAACAAAATTCTGGTGTCAACTATATGATTTTTAAATAATTTTATTTTTGAAACAGTATTTCATTCACAGAAGTCTGTAACCAGCAATACAACAATGCCCTTAAATATGAATGTCAGAACTCTCAATTTCTTTCCCCAAGAAAATGATTACTTAATATTGCAACCAAAGTTGAAGAATTGTAGTAAGAATCTCTCCTGCACAAGAATCAAACATAAGTCTTTCAAGGCTTTTTCTGTAAGGATACTGAAATGTCAGTAACAGAAATCACACATGTTCATCTAAGTGAAAAGCCAAAATGGTATTTCCATTGAAATAAACCCAACTATGACAACAGAAATAATGCACCCTACAGATCTAATCACAAGAAGAAAGTACATGTAGTTACATGTGAGTGTTAGAATGTGTAAGACCTTTAGAGATGATGCAGCCAGCCTGGCTGGCACTGCCAGAACAACACTCTTCAGCAGCCAAATGAGTGGTCAATTCTATCTTGTTTACTGTTTTATAGAGTAGGGTGTTTTCATGAAACATTATTCAACAGCACAGCTGATGCTGTGATATCATTATATGCATTTTCACTCTTCAGATACTTAATTTAAATAATTTTATTCACTGTAAATTCATCCTTACAGAAAATGAAAATGTAACTTCTACATTACAATGCAAAAGCAGAACTGCCTGATTCACATTCCATCATTTGATGGAGGAAGTTTCCTGTTTCTCTCAAAAGTATGGTTTAGTTCTAAGCACTACCAGAATCAGTAAGAAAAATAACTTCAGAAAATGCAATAGAAAACTTATTAAAAGGATGCTTTCATTTCTGGCAATACTCCATGATGCAGTCTAAGCCACAAAGTGCTTGGCACCTTCTGGAAAAACCCATCTTGTCATGAATTTAGCAACAGCAGAGCACAGAACTGTGTGTTTTATTTTGATTTTGCTGTGCCGTGTAAAGAGTGCCACCACTGACAGCACTATAAAGAGATTAGTGGGAACAGCTAGTTTCAGCTCTATTTATATTCACAGTTTATTACTGAAGAACATGGAAGGAAGCCAAAGATCCCAGTTCAAAGATAACTTTCAAGTCAACATAGGATAGCTTCTCTCTCAGAAAGCAACATACCACACCAGCCTTTTCATGTCCTTGTTTTAGACATGGACTAGGAACGCAGACAGTAAGGCACACGTTTCTATGTTTAGAAAAATGTGAGTATCTTCCATTTAACAGTAAAGCATTGAATATAGTGCTATGACACCAAAACACCTGTTAATTACAGATTGTTCTGAAATATATCCTATTATATTTCTCTTCTTTCTTCACACCCTATCCTTCACCAAAAATAAAATACCCATGCTTTCTCATCTTTCACTCTCATGCTGCTGTATGTAACACCCCTCCTATGACTTAGTGCCTTTTCTATCATACAGAAAGAGAAGAGATCTTGGGGCCCAAGAATGTGAACGGAGAAAACCAGGTACTCCAAACAAAGTGAGAAGAAACCCTGTCCTGCTGCAACACAGTAACACAGATCACAGCTACATGACAGACTCTCCAGACACTAGAATTCTTGCATAAAAAAAAAAAAGCTTAGCACAACCTCAAAATGTTGACCAAGCATTTCTATGCTTACAAGTTTTTTTAACATTTCTGAAATATATTCCAACTAGAAGTAATAAAAATATCAGAAATTGCTGCCAAAATGTAAGAATCTAATTAATTTTTATCCTTTAAAAGCATGGGTTATCACATATAGAAGCCTGAAAAGCACTTCAGCATTCATGCTGTCTATCCAATGTTCTTCTAGGTACAGAATTTACTCAGAACTCTTAAGAGTTGTGAAATATACTTGTGACATATACAATTAGTATTTACCTTAGAAAACTGTACTTACCTTTGGACATTTGGACTTTCGTGCAGTTTCAATCATAAGATTTGAGCCCATTTTTTCTCTACAAAAAAGCGTAAAAAATTGAAAATGCCCCATCAGTTTAGCATGAACAAGACACACATTTTTATCATCCTTATTTCTGAGACCTTTGCGTTTAAAAGAAGTAATGTTTGTATTTCACTTTAACAATCAGATTTATACAATTGGCTTCAATGGACCGACACTTCACGCTTTCTAGTCTGTTGGAAATAAGTCTGAGAAGTGACTGAAGAGGTCTTGATTCAAATTACCCAGTTCACATACTTAACCATAAATCATTACAATTATTCAACTACATAGTTAGACAAAATACTTTGCCACATTTATGAATCAAAAAACCAACATCCTTATTAAGTGGTTCGACAGTAATGAAAAATCACTCTTCTGTAGTTACAGAAACAAAAGCTACAGAGAGGAAGATGGCATGCCAAATGATTTAGAAGAAACTTAAAACATCTACATGTAGTCTTCCATAACAGGAATCCAATATGCATTTACCATTCCTTTCTGAGGTAGTATTTTTTCACATTAACACATTTTCATAAATCACACTAATGGTCAACATTGTAGTTTCTCATCATATCAGGGTCAGGATTCCCATTGTTAACTACAAGATAGCTCTTCTGCACAGTAGAGAAGACTGGAGCAAACTACCATACCAGCCAGTAATCTCACCTCAGCATCTACTTCAACTTTGGTTTGCTTACAGTAAAGGTATAAAACTCCTAGAGATGGGTGATCAGTGATAATGATTCCAAATAGGCTTTCCTTTAAATCAGCAAGCTTTCTTCCTCCCCTAGAACACAGCCCATCCACTGGTGGTGCATCTGCCTTATTCTGCAAAGATGGTTTTCCACACTGCCACACTTTTAAAGTAAAGATATTCCATGTGCTGTTATTACGAGATCATCCATCTACAGCTTGCACCCATCACAGGAGGGAGTAGCACTTCCACTCTTAAAAACAACATCTTTATTGACCTACTCAGGTCAGAAGACAAAAGAAGCTTTAATGGCTACCATAGCAGCAGTCCTCCATGCAGACAGTAGACTGTATGTGCAATTAGGACAATTTGCTGATCTTCTAGTGGATATTTGTGCTTGAAAGATGGCTGCATACATGTCCTTGACAGGGAGGGAGACAGGTTCCAGCCCTATCATGGAAAACTCCTCCTGACACAATTCTTGCACCTGTAGAACTATTTTGTTTTATTTTTGTTTTGCTTCTAGTCTCAGAATCACCACCAGAAGGGGAAGAGTGACATCTGCACTCATTAACTGATTACAGAAGGAGATGAAGGCACACAGAACCATGAAGTAGGAATAAAAGAAATGAGACTGACAGAGGTGAAATATCAAAGACATTTACTGATTTGCATCACTTTCATCTACTTCTGAAATGTCTGTATTAGCTATTTTTCCCAAACCCCAAATGCAAAGATTAAAAAAATGCAAAACTAAAACCTCTACTTAATTATAGGAACCATCAAACTGAGTAACTATATCATCACATCCTGTTTTTGATGAAGGATAGAAACTAATACTCCAGAGTAGGTACAAGAAATCCTTTCAACTCCTGTGCAACTTTAGACATTACAGTCTAAGGTGAAAAGTTTACTATCACCTCCATATTTCGGTTAGTCCTGTTGCTACCATTAATACTGTAATTGCATATTAAATAATTGTATTTGTCTCGCTGTTTAATTTTCTTTTATGAAGTCACAGCAGAAGTAATTCTACAGTTTATTCACATAATGTGTTAAGAAAATAAAGCCTTCTAATTTTATTGAATAGTCCTCTGTTATCAAAGAAAAGAAGAAACTGGTAATTCTCAAGATGCTTTACTACCTTAAATTGCCACTTTAACTCATTTGCTTTTGTTAATGATAAAGACTCTTAATGTGTGTTGTCTTTGGGCCACTGGTTACTTTTTACCCAATCTTGCAACAGAAATATTTTCTAAAATGGGGAAACCAGGACTGTAAACAATATTTTAAATGAAACTGTATTGTAAATTAATATAATGGCATTATAGTATTTTATGTATTTTCAATCCCAACTGTCACACACTGAATCATCTTGTCTGACCACAAGCATACAGATGTTTCATTAAACTGTCTGTGACAACCCAAATCACTTTCGATATTAAAGTTACTTCAAATCCTGTAAGCATTTTACAGTTTTTCACTCATCGGTTATTTTGCCATCCTATTTTGCCATGTATCTACTTTGCTTGTCTCTGTCTGTGACCTATGTCCTCTAGACATGACCTACTTAAACAATGAGTCTCTTTCACAAACATTGCTCTTTCATTGCTTCAAGTCACTAATATTGCAACACTTATTTCAACAATGCTATGAAGAAGGTATTGTCAACCATATGCTGGAAGAAACATTTTAAAGGGCTACAGTAGTGATGCAGATAGTCTAGAGAAAGAGCACTTAATGCAAAAGGCAAAATTGTAACTTTCACCCTCTTCCAACAGTACCACACCAGTACAGTAGTACCACAGACTTTTCTACCATGCGCTGGTATGGAATATGTAACCCATCTAGTGACTAGAGAGCAGTATCAATTTATATTTCACTCAGCAAAACAAATACTGAAGTATTATTACTTGTATTCCCAAACACATACATTATCCATCTTCCTATCAAAAGAGAACATGTGATTTTTATCCTATGCTTCATACAGTGACCGATTGCTTCTCAAGACTATAAATTCCCAATATGAAATTTTAGCTAGCTTGTGAAAAGCCCTAGCTGCTCACCAATTTCTCCAGTAGTTTCTTGAGACAGCATGCAAGCAAAAAAATGTATATGTCAACAATAGTCAAAAGAAAACAAAGAAGTTGGAACGATAAGCCAGGTTCTTACAAATGCAATTAAATATAGCATTACATACACTGATATGTTGTAAGTAAAATCTTCTGCATAATGTCAATTATTAAAACCAGTCCTCAAATTGCAACTCAAGAAATACATAAGAGGAGTTAAAACAGACATACATAGAACATATGAAACCAATTCCCTAAAGTACACTGAATGAAATGTCAGTTAACCAAAATTAGTTGTCATTTTCTGAAATGCAATTTATAATATACCCCATGAATGCATGGAACATTAGTCTGATGAAACATCAACTTAATTACTTTCAGCAAGAATACCTTCTGACAGAAAATACCACCACTGATATTGTGGTAGGACTAAACATGTATTACAGGTATTACATCTGTACATGTCAATGGATTGTCTCTATTTCAAGCAAGGCTGACAAATTAATATTTGAACTACAAAAACACATACATCCCAAGTAATGCTTTTGAATTCAAAACATAGCATACAGCAGTTTTCCCATGCTGTAACAATGTTAGACCTGACCTTCAATATTGCTGTAAAGAGATACTATATAACCTTGCAATTCCCCTCTTAGCTCCAGGCCCCCACACCACTGGGAAGCCTCTAAGAATCCCTTCAACAAAATGCTGTGCAGCAATAGCATCTCTCTTCAACATTGCAGGTAACCAAGAAGTAATTTCTTGATCAACACATTTAATTTTTAATTTACTCTATGGATAATGTATTAATTGCTGGCTTTTGATATTGCACAGGAGTAGAGTTCTTTACCTCCCTCATATGCTACATCTAGCTGCAGAAAACCAGCGGTATTTTAATTAAAGGCATGTAAAATACTTTCAACATTAGGTTATTGTGATTTTCACAAGACTTCATTTAATTTGGCAGGGAACTAAATGATGGAAGACAGAGAAAAATCTAATTTCTAAAAAAAGACCTTCAGATATCTGAGAAGAAAAGCTCATTATATTAATTTGATAAATGCATTTATTTCTAAAAATATGCAAGAGCACAGAGAAAAAGTGCTTAGAAGCTTCTCTCTCCACTTCATCAAAGAAGTAAGATGCTTAAAATTCAGACACCATTGGTAATTCCCACTATTATGTCATAAAAACTCTTTTAATCCCATAAAATACAGTAATCATGTTTCCAAAGGAACTTGTTATTACTTATCAGAAGGAACTTTTTTTACCCTTTTACATTTTCTCTCAAAAAAAATTCTTGTTCAGTTATTTCAGTGGCTGGGTCAACTTATGCTGGCTGGGAAGCTATGACATTAGTTTGCTAAAAATTATAAACAATTGAACTATCAATACAAATACAGATTAATAAAACTAAGAAATAAAAACCTGTAAAATAATAACTCTTTCTAGTGGCTTTTCCTGAGCAACCATCAATGTAAGTGAATATACTTCACAGGCAAATCTGCCACTGCAGATAATTTTTCACAGCAACCCTTACAGCTCATTTCCCTTTCAAAGAAAGTGGCAATGGACAAAGCCCTTCAATATAGCAGCAAACATCAGAAATCCCTACTACAGCACATTATTTCACTTCTCGCCAATCTCCTTTACTAAAAAGGGCACAGCAGGTGGTTAGTAAAATTTGTAGCAAATCTGTAATGAGTCAGATCAAATAGAGCTGGCAAGCATACAGGAATATAATCAGAAATCAGTGCAGTAAAGCTTACTTTATTCCCCAGAAATGTAAATCATTTCATTAAAAGCTTCCAGCATCCTCGTAGATACAAAAGCAGCTATTTCAAAAGAACAAGAGTATACGTTAATCCCTTCTAGTTTTTTAAGAATCTGCACACCAGTGAAACAATAACAAAACCAAATGCACTCAGTCATTGCACAATTATTTTTAATCTAATCATCTTTTACTTACTTGAGTATTTTTTCCCATATATCACTGTCATAAAAGGCATGGTTCCAGCCCATTTTGACTGTTCCAACAATGACATTCTGCTTAAAAACATCTGATCCTAACTTATGGTACAGTTCTTCACAATCATCCAGGGGAATATGGAACAACCCCAACATAAAAGCTAGTATAGCTCCTGAAAAAAACAAATATTTTCCAATATTACAAAAACGTATCCTGGAATAAGATTACAAAAATGGATTAACAGTTAATGTAGTTCATAGGTTAAGAGAATATCTGTTTTGAAACAGCAAGACCAACTGACATTTATTGCACTAAATTCCTGCTCAAAGATCACAAACCATGTTTTAAAAAACACATTCAAGATAGAAAAAGTCTATTTTCAAAAATACAAATATGAGAAGTTAAAACATTTTATTATTTCTTTTTGCAGATTACAATAAGCATATGGCAGAAAGCAAATGAAATCCACTACTTTACTTGGAAAGAGAAATGAGTAAGAGAAATCTATGCTGTGGCACTAAAAATTTATTTGGAGCAAACTCTTAAGTCAGTAGACAAATTTCTAGGAAAATTTTGCAAAAATAAGGAGATTCCAGTAGTTTGGATTACATTTGGTTGCAACCATTCATAATTAGTTTCATACATGCTGCCATCTAGTGTGTGCCTAACAAAAATTATGACCTACCCTTGCAGGAACAAAATAACAGCACTCAAAAAGCATTGCTGCTAAATACCATTAAAAGGACTGTGGAAAACTACAGTTAATGCACTACTATAATTCTAAGCTATATTAAATCAAAAGGGACACACAAAACCTTTAAATCTAATTGTGCCATACTGTGAGAACATGTAATTAAGCATTAGGAATAATGAGGACACATTTTTTTTCAATCTGGAAATAAGTGCCATAGGCTTGAATAAAGTTAATTTTAAAAGGTGCCAATTTTTGAAATAATAGTAAAAATACAATACATGCGCAGAAAAAAACTACATGCAGGAAGATACAGATGCCTTTAAAAGAAACATGACTTCCAAGCCCTTTTTCACTCTCGCAGCGCCCACCAAGTGTGATAGCTGAGCACTAGTGGATTGATGGTCTCAGTTTCTTAAAAGGCAGCACACATGCTTAAGGCAACCTGCGCCTACTTGACACAATGTTTCACCATACTTGACACAAAGTTTCATCAAGAGAAACTATCTCACTTGCAAAATCACCAGATGCCTGTATGCAAGGCAGACAACACCTAGTAGCAGAGAAACAGCATTTTCCCGAGTCATGAAAATCCTCTGCCACACTCTCTTCCTCTAAACTCTCCAGCACCAGTTCTACAGTATCATACATTTGCTATTTTGGTGAGCAGATTCAAAAGTATGCAGAGCCTATAACAGCATCATTGCAATGATCCTTCTCTATGACTACCTGCATTTACACCCTCTGACCTCCAATGAAGAGAAGCATGGGGAAGATAACTACAAAGTGATGCTGAATTCACAGCAAGGGCATTTCCAAACTTGAAAGGTAAAACAGCTGAACAATAGTAAGAAATACAAAAACTGCAGCAGAAAAGAGAAGTGCAGTGCATAAGAGGCATTCTTCCAATCATTGAATCCATCACTCTTGTAAAGCACAGTTCATTCAACTGCAAGACTATTGGCATATTGTACTGTCAATACAAACAGAACCGCCAGCAGTGCTGGCAGACATGCATAGCCTCACCCAGCCATGTCTTTCCATTTATTATTGCAAACTGGACAACTGCAGACAAATGCTTAATTGTGCAAACAAAATTTAAAAGAATAAGCTAAGTCCTTACTAGCAGTCATAAATCCCAAAATTTGAGGAAGAACTAAAAACAAAGTTCTAGTCACAGTAGTGGGAGTAAATTAAGAACATGAGGCCTCTCTATCCAAGGTAAAACACCTTTATTCATTGAGGACAACACTGGAGAAGTATTTTGTAGGGAAACCATCCTCCAAAGAAACAACCACTTACTGTTAAACTTACTAACAAAGGATTTATTTGGAAGACTATTAAAAATGTAAAGCAGGGAATTATATCATGACTACAAAAAAATTCTGTCTAGGAGACCTAAACACTGTTTTAAACTATTTTGAGTCTATTAAGCAAATCCCTTGAAGCACACTTCATCTACTCAGGGTGATCTGTGCTTAATATTAAATTTCTGATCGAATGCAAATATGACAAAATATTTGAAGAATGTGGGTTTCTAAAGGAAACTGAGCTAGTAAACTACAGCATACCTGAGCTAGTAAACTACAACATACTTGTGCTGCTACTGGTCTAACAATTTCTGAAGGAGATTACTGTCTTTAAAGGAGAAACTTATGCTTTGGCGTTTCCTGCTTTCTAGGGAGGAGTAACTTATCACTGAGTCACAAGTGTAAATAAGTCTGGGTGGGAGCTGTAGACATCATCTAGTCCAACCTCCTCTTCCAACAGGTATAATTACAATATGTTACTCAGGACTTGTTCATCCAAATTTTGAGTATCTCCATGGACAGAGATTACAAAGCCTGAACCGGCAATTCCTTCCAGTGTCTGACAAGAAAAACATGATCCCATACCTAATTACAACTTCCCATACTCCAACTTGTCTGCTGGCTTTTCCCCTACCACTGTACACCTTAAAATTATTCTAGATGCATCTTCTCTTTATTTTCCCATTAGCTGAACCAGAATAAAAGCCCACTCTTAGCCTTCTCAAGGCCAAATAAACCCAGGTTTTGGACTCTCTTCTTTACATGTCATGAGCTCCAGCCCCCTGGCTCTCTGCTAGATTCACCCAGTACAAAAAAGACACCCAAAATATTAAGGGTTTATAGAGGAGCCCATAACAAGACATTTGTGGCCAAACAGAGACACTTCAATTGTTGGGTTGGTTCTTGTCCATGCAAGCCAATGTGGTCAGCTTTCTTTGCTCTAGAGTACAGTGATGATTCATGCCCAACTTGTTCCAAACAAGACAAGGTCCTTTTCTGCAAAGCTGGTTTCTAGGCCATCAGCCCACCTCAGATGGAGGGCTTTGTATTTGGCTTTACTGAACCTGCCAAACCATTTCTCCAGCCTATACAGACCAATATGAAGAGAGGGCACCACAGTATCTACCACTTCCTCTAATTTAGATCATTCAAGATCTTGCTACATGCACATTCTGTCCTGGCAGATAATTAATAAAGATGAAACACTGCTGTTAATAAAGGAAACACGACTGACTCAGTATCAGCTCCTGAGGGACATTACCTTAGTAGTTTTAAAGCTCTGTGAATACCTAAGATAACTGTTTCTATGAGCAAATTGAAGATTTCACATAAATTGAAAAAATGACACATCAGTTTAAAGCCAAAAGTTCGTAATGAACTCCCCAAAGTTCTTATTCAGAAGCCAAGACTCTAGAAATCACAACTGTACTTTCCTAGCTTACACTCTAAGTCAGAAACTGCAAAATCTATATTTATTCTCAGATGTTCTTTTACTGCATTGATAGCAAAACTCCAACTTGTGGCTTAATAATTACCTGTGCTTACGCCACAGATGTAGTCAAAAAGCTGATAAACCGGCTTTCCAGTTAATTCTTCTAGTTTCCGTAGAGTCTGAAGTGCAACTAAACCCCTGAAACACAAAATTCCCCTTCACATACAATGGCAGTCTTATCTTACATAGCTCTAATCACTTTTCAATCACCTTTGCTTCATTACAATGAATTATAATTTATTAACTGCAACATTAAGAATCTTGAATATTTCAGGAAATAAAAGAGCAGCAGAACACAGTTAAAATAGAATGATGAATACTAAATATGAATGACATACTCAGGCACACCAAACATTGTATTCAACAGCTACAGCCATATTGTTTTACAGCAAAGGCTTAGGGGGTGATCAACTTCTGTAGATGTAGACTAAGGATAGATTTTAGTTGCTTTCCCACTACAAAAGACTTAAATTTTGGTCTTAACAAGGCTATGTAATGCCCCCTGCGGCATAGTATTTTCCAGTATGGGGTTTGCTTGGCCTCAATTCAATGTATCTGAAATAATGGGAGAGATGAATTAGAGACCATCAGATTTGTGCTTCCCTATCAATGAACAGTATCTGGCAAGCAGCAGTGTGAACTCTGTTCGGATAGAGGGAGATAACTGTGTATGGCAAAATGAGCACCAAAACAAACACCATTCAAGCAGAAATGCATAAAAAACCAATACCCATACCTTGGATACTCAAATGTGATAGAAATGTAACTCATAAATTGCCTCTCTGGGCATTTATCCATCAAAGAGAGACTGAAATTTTACTTCTAGTTGCAGTATGAAAAAGGTTACAAGTATGTAAAACCCCAGAAGTTTTACCTTGTTCCTCCTCCATCAATGGTGAGGATTCGAATTCCCCAGCCTTTCACAGGGTCTGTATAGCCAAGCAGTGCTAAAGTTTCTCTAACAGCAGCCTGAAGACTTTCATCATTAGCCTGTCTCAGTCGCAACAGGCATGGGATTAATTTTTCCTATTGATAAATACAAGGATATTTCATTCTAACCATATGTTTAAACCAAAAGAATCCATTCCTAAATTTACTAGCATGGCATTAAAGTACAGAAGTAATATACTAGTTAAACTTGGAAGAAAATATCTTTAAATATGTATTTACCCATGTCTTTCTCTAACAAGGGAAAGAAAGGATGTCAATATTATGCTGTACACACCTCATTGCTATAGTAACTACCTATCAGAATTAAATAATCAAGATTATATGTAAATATTTTTAATAGCTAGGAAAGCTACATTTACCCCTTTCGTTTTATTGACTTAGTACCACATCAGCCAAGTGTGATACTACTCTACTATGAAGCACACGAAGTACAGGCAAAACCCCAGATTTGCTTAACAAGTACTGCACTGCTTCAAAACAAGAAATGCCTTTTAAGTACATAATACCAAAACAAAAGTTAAAATGCTTTCCCATACTATTTTTAAAATGCACACTACCACAAAGATACAAAGCATTACAATAAAAAAGGGAGCAGTGAATACACACTTTCATAATAAAGTAATTGAGATATATTTATGTGAATGCCTCACCTGTACCCTGCCCAGATGATTCATCTGGCCTGCACTCCATTTCCAAAGGTTACTTTTTCCAGAAATTCTACAATCTGTATCAGAGGTTTGTCAGATCTTGTGGAAAAAGGCACAAGGTTGACAAATGCTGTGATTTAGCTAGCACTTCTAGAATAGTCTACCATCCACCTCCTGCCCTCTCAAAGCAGGGAAGAAAACAAGTACGACTAGATTACATTAACTTATTTGATGGTTCTCTTGCCACCTCTCTTTGAAGAAAGCACGTAAACCAGCAAAGAAAGTACTGTGCATTTACAGATCAACTGTACAGCTCGTTCCCATCTGGTCAACTGCCACAGGGGACACAGTGTACGACCTTTATCTACCACTGGAAAAAGCTATACTACCTATCCACATGACCATGCCGTATGCTTCTAAATTAAACATTGCAATCTTAAGAGCCTTTAGCTAAACTCCCAGTAGTTTGCATATGAATCTGCTTGAACCAGCTAAAAAGTTATAAAAAAAAGACACAAACTGCAATCCTTGCAAACACGAGATATGACTAGTCCACAAAAGCACAGAGGGAGGTTTTATGTTGTTCTATATCAATAATTTGTCAAGATTGTTTTTTATGTAAGCATAAAAACTATTTGCACCTTAATTGCAACTCCTCTGCTCTCTGGAAATTCTAGAAGATGGTAGGTCAGTTCTTCAACCCTGTTGATGCAGACTCTTGGATTAGAGGCTCTCCGTAGGGCTTGAACTAAAGCTCGAGTCCTGTTATCAATACTCACTCTTGCAATGATCTAAAGAAGACAAATGGACAACATAAAACTACTCTGAGAAATGTGCAGAATTTGTCAAGACTAATTTCAACGTGTTATTTTAAGATTTCTCAGAAGCAATGAACAGCATGTTGCACCATAGATCTCCTACATATTCCAAGTAAGCACTGCTTAACTCATCAAGAAAAACCTTTTGATTCTTATTTAGTAGAAAACAAAATAAAGTTTACAGCAAGAATATACCAAACAAACATGTCAATATGTATTCAGATGGATTTTCAGGGCAACTTTGTGGTATTTGCACCATTAGCAAACCATGAACTGTAAAATTACTATAACTACAAAAAATAATACAGCTAGACCTGTCTGTAATTATGGACTCTATGCATATATGAACTAAATATACATACCTACAGCACACACACAGAGGTGTGTGCATATATATATATACATACACAGACACTCTTAATATATAAACTTGCATAAACAGATCTGTATCCGCATAAAACATCTAATACTTAAATGCAGATGTATCTACACCTACTTTTAAGTACATATATATATTTGTAAGTTTACATATAGTATGCATATATAAATAAAATCTATATAGTTTTATATATATACTTATTTATCAAAGTGCACAGAATGAATTGGAGAAGAGTTTGGGTTGGAAGAGTTCCAACCTCCTTGCTGTGGGCAGGAACACCACATATATACTTATATGGAAGTACAAATACTTATATACAAGTAAAAGTATGTGCACATATGTATGTAAGTATATACTCAGGTATATACTTATTTACGTAAGTAAATGTGTATCTATGAAATATAGGTATATACACTAGTGTAGCATATATATACACTTGTATAAAATATACATACAAAGAATACATAAATTAACACTAAACAAAGACTTGCCTTTTCTCTCTGAAGAGAAAGATGCTTCTCCCTCTCTTCAGCAGTCTTGGCCTCTTTTGCTTTGTCCTCATCACTCTTCTCAGACACTTCTTGTTCTTGCTGTTTATTCTTTTCTGGTGTAACAACTTTTGTATCAGATCTTAACTTTGGAACCAACCCACCAATATAGCTGTCGACAAAAGCTTGTACACTGTTACTGGGATATGAAAGAAAGTCTGCAATACTTTTTTTAGTGGAAACTGGGAGAGGAGTATTTGTCTTTTCAGTACCCAAGATCTCTGCTTCAGGAGCTGAAGTACCTGCTGAATTCACTCTCTTTTCTTCACTTGTTACAGTATTTGCTGATGAAGCAAGCTTTTTCTTCTCTTCACTTTCAGAGTCCTGTAATAAAGTACTTCTCTTCCTTCCTTGTTCCATAACAGAATTATTAAAGTAAGAGTTGATATGATCAGCTACGAAGTTGTAAGTCTCTCCAAAATTTGTAGAAAAGTAGCTTATATGAAAAAGGTGGTTTTTAGTAGATGCTGAAACTTCTGGAGTATCTTGACAAGTGCTGCTTGAACTTACTGACACAGAGTCCAAGTTTTCACTTGCACAAGTGGATTTCTTTGCAGCTGGGCCTCTGTTGCAATCGTCCTGAGTTCTGACATCTGTAACTTGTTTATCATTTTCTAGATTTGTGCTGGTGTTATTTGCATCTGCACTACTTTTATTTGCTTTACCCAAAGTACCTGAGTGGGACTTTAATCGAGCTATCCGTGACACCAGCTCACTGTGAGTGCCAGACACTGCCTTTGAAACAGATTCTATAGTATTCTTAATTCGTGACATGCGAATGCCCAGCCTTGTAAGTCCTTTAGAAGAAGAAGTTAAAAGTTTGGAAACTCTGTAGTATAAAAACTCATGGCAATAAATGTACTTGTTATACCAAAATGTTCTGCTTCTGGCCCACTTACACCAAGGCTCACTTGTATGAAAAACTCTCAGGTGTGCAGCATGATTTATCCTCCAGCCGGCTTTAGGTCTACAGAAACACAGATATTTGTTTCTCTGCTTCCACCAAAGACTTTTTGGGTTAATCAAAAAGAATAAATATGCATCCAAAGATAAATGAACTGTCATTACTTATAAATAATTGCACCTTTTCTAGGTTGCTTTCTACTTCATTCCAAAAAATATATGTCAATAAGTAAGTCCTGTAATGTAGTGTTGTCTGAAAAAGAAAAAATAAAACAAAATGAAAACCATCAATGGAAGCCCCAAACCAGAAACAAGTTAAACTAAAATCACAGAGTTGTTTAAAACAGATGAAGTTTGTGTATCCTTTTGGTAAAGACAGATAAACATTCAAATAAAATCAAACAATCTCATGGGAAAATCTACTGCTCAGGACATTTGGTAGGTAGCTCACCTCAACATTTCAACACGGTACTCCCTATAGGACAGTTTAATCTCATCTTGAGCAATATGTGACACTTCTCAAAAGTGCAACAGTACTTAATGTCAAATTCAAAATTGATTTCTGTTTCTTCAGCAGATTATCGTTTGCAAATTCAACGTTTCAAATGTTATTATATTACCACCCCTTAGCAGAATTCCTCACAGGGAAGAAGCGACACCAATACTTTGATCAAAGTTCAACAAAACGTGCCCATCCTAAGAGTCAAGGGCAGGATATAATCCTTACTCGGCAAAGAAAGGTGCAACTGGTGAAGCAGCATTTTACACAGCACACCAGAATTGTGCTGATATCGCAGGCGCACATCCATTATCTGCCGAAAAAACAAGCCCAGGCTTCTGCAGCGCCCGTGACAAAGGCCGAGAAGGGCTGCCAGGCAGGCATGCAGGCCAATTCCTGCGCAGTCCGACTCCAGAGACAGCAGAGGTGAACCCCGCCGGCAGCGCCATCGTTACTTACGGCCTCCTCTGCCTACGCCGCGCCTTCCCGCCGGGTGACCGCTGCGGGCCCCGGGCCGGGCCGGGCTATATAAGCACCACGGCGCCTCCTGCCCGGGGGCAGGCGCGGCCGCTGTTCCTGCCTTGCGCCATTTCCCCGAAACGCTGCCGAGAATGGCGACATAAACAAGCACCGAGTCCAGGCCGCGCTGTCCCCCGCCCACCTCCCGTTACGCGAGCGAGCCCCGTGCGCCCGGCACGCGCTCATCGTGTTCCCCTCGTCCTCATATTGCCCCAGGACCCGGTGGAGATGCAGCCCGTCCTGGAGGCGGTACCTGCTGGACAGTGGCTCCCGCCTCCCCCCTGTTCCCCGGCCGCCGGACGCCAGGCAGGGGCCGCGCCCTCAGCAGCGGCGCCGCCCCGGCGGAGCGGGCGGGAGGCGGAGGGGCCCGGCACCGCAACACCCGCGGCGCGCGGCACTGCGCCTGCGCCCGCCCCGCGCGCCGGAAACAGCTGGGGCGCGCGCCAGCGCCCCGCGGGCCGCCGCCGACGGGGCGGGGGGAGGGGGGGGAAGCGGAGGGGAGCGACGCGAGACGGCGCGCGGGAGGGCGGGGTCAGGGCGGGGCGGGGCTGCTGCGCCTGCGCGCGCGGCGGGCGGGCGGCGACGTGCGGCGCGGCACGCGCGGGGGGGCGGGGCGGTGCCGCCGGCGGGCGGGAGCGGTCCCAGAGCCGCCGCGGGCGGGGCGCAGGATGGGCGGGGGCGATTATCCGGGCCCGACCTCCCCCCGCCTGACCAGAGCACACCGCTCGAAGCCCCATCGAGCCTCGCTTTGAGCGCTGCCAGGGTTAGGGAGTCCTGGGAAACCTGTTCTGGTGCCTTTCTACCCTCACAGTAAATAATGCCTTCCTAATATCTAACGTAAATTTCCCGTCTTTCAATTTGTGTCCATTACTCACTGTCCTGTCACTATAGTTTCCGTCTTCTCTGGCTTCTGTGTCGGTCCCTTTCAAGTGCTGGAAGGAGCTTTGAGGTCCCCACAGAACCTTCTCCATGCTGAGCAGCCCTCGCTTTCTCAGTCTGTATTTTCAGGGGAGGTGCTCCCGCTCCCTTACAGCTTCATGGCCCTCCTCTGGGCTTGCTCCAAGAGGTCCATGTCCTTCTCATGTTGAGGACCCGAGAGCTGGATGCGGCACTCCGGGTGGGGTCTCACCAAAGCAGAGTAGAGGGGCAGAATCCCCTCCCTTCATGCTGCTGCCCAGGCTGCTTTCGGTGCAGCCCAGGACATGTCTGCCTTTCAGGTTGGGTACAGCAGAGCAGGTTGTGCCCCACGCTGCTGCCAGCACTGGGCTCTTGATGCCACACCCTGTGGAGTCACTGGGAACAAGGAGCTGGGAAGAGAAGCATCCCTACCCAGTCCTTGTAGCTCCTCAGTGCAGCTGCCTTGGGAATATCCTCTCCTCTGTCTCCTGCTTAATGCTTAGGGAACGATGACAGACATGTTTTTCATGGGTTGGATAGGGTTAGGGGACACTTTGGTCTTCCCCAGCAGCAGCTCTTCAGAGCAGCAGCAGGCCATGAGGTTCCTGCCTGCATGGCCTGCCTGAAACACAGTTTTAATGAAGTTGCCAAAACTTCATGTAGCAATAGCACAAGAGGATGGATGCGCTGTGTGTTCAGGTGGAAAAATTGAAGCCTTTCCATGAGGGTTAGGAGGGTCGTGTCACACTTACAGATTCAGATCCCAGTTGTCTGCTTTTGTTCTTTCTCACAAATAAAGAAGTAAATTTATTTTCTTACCTTGCATTTTATTCCCCAAAGGAACATTAATACTCCTTAAATATATTTTTTTATAATATTCCTTACATGTAATGTAATGTAATGTAACATGTAATTTTTATAATGTACTTTTTATAAATGGAACAGGTTAAATTCTCCACATCTTCCAGAGCAGGACATCCCTATCTGGATACCAGGTGCCCGCCAAAGTCACTCTGTCACTCCCTTCCTCAACTGGTCAGAGGAGAGAAAATAGAACAAAAGGTTTGTGAATTGAGAAAAGGACAAAGAGAGATCACTCACCATTTACCATCATGGGCAGAACAGGCTCAGCTTGGGGAAATTGGCTGAATTTATTACCAATCAAATCAGAGTAGGGTAATGAGAAATAAAATCAAGTCTTAAAAATTTCCTCCCACCCCACCCTTCTTTCCAGGCTCAACTTCACTCTCAAAGTCTCTCCCTGCTCCCCATACAGCAGAGCAGGGGGATGAGGAATGGGACCTGCAGTCAGTTCAACACGTACTGTCTCTTCCACACCTTCTTCCCTCAGTGGGAGGACTTGTCAACTTTTCCCCTGCTCCACCATGGGGTCCCTCCCACAGGAGACGGTCTTCCACAAGTTTCTCCAGTGTTAGTCTTTCCCACAGGTTGCAATTTTCACAAACTGCTCCAGCAAGAGTCCCTTCCACAGGGTGAGTTTTTTCCTTCAGGAACAAACTGCTCAGAGTGGATCTCCTGCATGGGCACAGGTCCTGACAGCAAACCTGCTCCTGTGTGGACTCCTGTCTTCATGGGGCCACAGGTCCTGCCAAGAGCCTGCTCTGGTGCAGGTTTCCCATGGGCTCATAGCCTCCTTCAGGCACCTGTGTGCTCTGACATGGGGTCTGCCAGGACCTGCAGGGGAATCTCTGCTCCAACACCTGGAGCACCTCCTCCCCCTCCTTCTTCACTGACCCAAATGCCTTCAAAGTTGTTCCTCTCACATATTCTCATCCCCCTCTCCCAGCTGCTGTTGCGCAGAATCTCTTACCCTTTCTTAATATGTTGTCACAGGAGCACTGCCACCATAGCCGATGGGCCCAGCTTTGGCCAGCGGCAGGTTCATCTTGGAGCCTGCTGGGATTGATACCTTCTGATGTTTTTTTGCAGAAGTAGTAGTCCCACTCCCCATTCTTCCCCACCAAAACCTTGTCACATTAACCCAATGCAATGACAATTTTACAGTCAAGGCATGTCACTTCCTTGGTGAAGTACTGAGTGACCACAAATAACTCACAAGCCACTTATTATTAAGATCATTTGCAGATTACAGTGGCAGTTCATACCCAGGTGCTCATCTATTCTGTATTAAATGTTTCCAGAGTTGCTGCCTTCTGTCCTGTTCTGCAGGTATGGTCTGCCTGCCTTGTTTGTAGGCAGATTACTACACATCCAGTTGTATTATCCAGTGGTGGTATACTCATGTTTTCAAGATTTATCTACTATTCTTTAATTTATCACAGGATTCCATTATATATGCTTAAGCTCATTTTTAAAGCAAATATTGCAAACAGTAGTGGGGTCTGCCCTAAGTGCCACATGCAGCTAAGCAGGGAGGTTTCGCTGCCTCTTGATGTATGAGTTACTTCATGTAAAATCCTGAATACTGTTATGACAGCAACAGAGTACAGATACTTTTAGAATGTGTAGCAATATTAGCTTAAACAGCTTCCCTTCGTGTGATTGCTCTTCTGTAAGCCCCAGGGCTCTAGTGCATTTGCCAGTGTGCTGAACCGAGTTGGATCTCATCAGATGACTTAAGAAGCAGTCACCCATCTGAAGCCACAGTCTGAGCTGGCTTTAGGCAGGGTAGCTTGCTTTCTTACAGCAACAAAAACTAAAGCAAAACAAGACCTACAACTTCAGTAAGAAGGAAGTTTGGACATGATAACTTAATCTTGCCAGGGCACATCCTGCCTCTCTTTGACTGGCAAATAAGGTATTTGAGGTAGGAGGCAACTGATCCCTTTTAGCTGCACATGGCTCCTTCCTAAACAGTCACACTTTATCCCATAATCTCATTGTAAAATTCTCTCCTGTGCCTGCTCAGGCATTTGTTTCACCACCAGGATATGTACAATGGTGTGTTGATGAACACATATGCTAAGGAAAAGATTCAAGGATTTCACATTTCTAGTGTAATCACAAACCCAGATGTTCTTGCCACATCACTCTCCCCAAGGATGGGCAGACCTGTCTGATCTGACATGTTCAGAGGTGCATGATCCATCAGCTTCTCAAAACAACCATGAAATACAAAATAACTGAAAAACAGTGGACAGGAAAAGATAAGTTTATGTATTCCCATGCACAAATTCTGTGTCTTCTCAAATGTTTTGCCAATTTAGTATTATTCTCTTTACTGTAGTCATGACATTAAGAAAAAATTATCTCAAATTTATTTAAAAGATAGAGTAATTTTATAAGCTCTCTTAGTAGTCACAGATGAGTTCATTCTGTTTGACTAAATACCTACTTTTTAGATAAGAGAGATGAATCCACATATGGTATTCATACAGTGGCCAACTCTGTAGTTGTTTTCACATAATATGATATAATATAATTTAAATGATTTTGAGATATATTTAAATTTTAATAGTATGTATATTAGCTATTTGAAAAAATACTTCCATTTCAGTACTTTTCATGGGAAGTATTAAGAGAGAAATCTGTTGTTTTTATTATTGATGGGTTTTTGTTGATCTCTATTAGGTTGCATACCCAGCACTCAAGCTCTTTCAGAGTGGTCCCATGAAACACAATTGTTTTCAGTTTAGGAAACACTGAGAGTAGTTTGATTTTAATGCATTCTATCTCTGTTACTAAATTTAAAAAATCAAAGTCTTTCAAAAGATTTTCTCATTATACTTGTTACTACATGCTTTTGTAGGTAGGATGAAAACTTGTAAATCAAGTTACACATCAATTGTGGTGAAGCTTCCTGTTTTAAAGAAGGAGAGTTCTTTGGTGTGTGTGATTTTTGTCATAAAGCCAAAGTATTGTGGTGTCAATAATTCAGGTGAGTTAACTGTGTTCATTTATATGCATGCTATACTTTTCAATGCCATTAATTATTTCTAACATTAATATTTGTATGCTTGTCTTGGACTGCTGCTTGGAGGGGAAGTCATAATAGGTTATGAGGCAGTTTGATAAAAATTGAATATTTACCAGAAATAATGGTTCCAAAATATGTCAGTCTAGGATTCTCACTCTTGTTGTATAAAATGTGGAAGTTTTTATTTTGAGAAAATAGTTTTGCATATACTCTCGCTGTATGTTTGATAAAAAGCTATTATATGAATAGCATTTTTATATATAGCATTAGTTTATTTTTACTTGCCATATTTATTATGGATGGTATTCTGAAAATACAGAACTATCACCCGAGACTCAAACAAATTAAAAAAAAACCACAAGTATTTAATATTTTAAGGCACTGTGACAAGTTAACATATATTAGTAGAGCAGTATTCTGCTCATAATGGTACTGTTTTGTATTTTCATCAGCATAATATGACATGGACAGAACCTGTGTAGTGCTAGCAAATATTTTAGGCTTTGCAAACACAAGTATTCTGCCTCTTAACACTAGGTGGCAGACAAAAATGGGAAAACATTTCACTGTTTTCAGGGATAGAATATTGAATAATTA